ACTTTGTTAAAACTTGGAAATATTTAGAAATAAGCGTATGTTTTTGGGGTTTTCTTTTCGTTCAACGTGTCAAATTATGTTTAGTAATTTTTTGTGATCGATACCTTTTTTTGGAAGGAATTTTGTTCTTTAAAAAAATATTTTTTGTAAATTCATTTATTTTTAAAGTAATGACACCTCGGTGAAGCGACTTCTCTGCTTGACTCTCTCTCCCCCACCACCCCCCCCCCAACCGTCACACCCTTTGCTACTTTTCGGTTTTGTCCTTCCCTACCTAGCATTACAAGTTAATAATTAAAATTATTTACAGCACAAATTTAAGCCCCTAAAATAGAAGAGGCCCCCTGCACACGATGGACTTAAGGTCAATTGACACCTAAGACTAGCCTTTCTCCCATTGCTCTCCATTTAGGTGTATAATGATGCGAAACTAAATTTAATTTGGTACAATAAGGCATTCTTGCATTTTGACTTTATCAAAAAATTTTCGGGGACTATAAAGATTTAAGTGGTGAGACTAAGCAAGGCAGTATCCTTAAAAAAAGCATTTCTTAAGGGCCCCCAACTTGTTTGAATTTAGTTCATATTGGGCTGGTGGAAGAGTTAAAGATGTCTTTGTTATTATGGTTATTTTTAGCGTTTCCCACTCAAAATTCTGAAATGTCTTCATCAGTGGCGTTACATCTCATGTAGGCCCTGGCCTGCTCCACTACATCATTCCATTCGAGTCGATCAAGCGCGAATCCCCCAGCTGGTTTAAGTGCTTCTCTACATCATTGGTCCATCTTTAGTCTTGGTTGACCGGTGTATTTTTAAACTCTGTAGGCCTATTTCAGGAAACTTTGTTACAAAAGTAGCACATTTAAAGGAAACATGATGGGCAGAAACGTGCACTATTTCTATGCACCCGTTCAATTCTTAAATAAAAAATTAATAGTCTAATAACATTTTTTTTTAAAAGTTTTCCTTTTGTCTAGCTTAACTTACACGCAAATTATGCTATTAACAATATTTGTTAGACAATAATGCCATCATGCAATGAACAATTAACACTTATCCCTACTTTATCAGAAATGCTTTTACGATAAAAAATAATTTGAAAAGAGATTGTACATTTTTGTTATTTGGCAAAAACTATTATCAAAATTGTAGACAATTATATTGATGTTAAAGTATTTAATACAGTTTTATTCAAGTCTTTAAACCAGAGGCGTAGCTGAGGGGGCGGGGGCAGATGTCCCTGGAGGCGTAGCGAGGGTGTTTGGCGCCCGGGGACATTTTTCGCGCCCGGGGACAAGATCCATTTTAAATCGCCCCCCCTTTTTTTTTCAACACTAAAACGAATTATTTTTACCAATAATATAGTATCAAAGCACATTTTGGCGCCCCTAACTAGTTTGCACCCGGGGACATCTGTCCCCCCCTGCTCCCCCTCGCTACGCCTCTGGATGTCCCTGGGCGCCAGACTAGTTAGGGGCATCAAAATGTGCTTTGATATTATTTTATTGATGAAAATAATGGGTTTGAGAATTGAAAAAAAGAAAGGGAGGCGCTTCCTCTGGTTCTGGGAGTGCTCGTTGCTGCATCCATATACTGGCAAATGTGCAACGGTTGCGGAAGTGATGTTGCTATTCTAAAAGCTCCTAGCAGGATGCCAGGGCAGCCTTGAAGCTTTCGACCGATGTCGAGCTTAAAATGACGCCAAACACTCTAGCTACGCCACTGCTTTAAACTTGTGAAGTTGCCAAGAATGTATCAATAAAATTACCAATATATTCGAACAACTGTAAGTACACTGAAGCGGCCAGTACGACATTTATAGGCGAATACTGTAAGCCTCCAAGATTAGCCTAAAATGTATGAATCCTCAAATCTATCGAGCGCAGTGATAATTTAAAGATTCAATTAATTGTAATCGTTTACAGGCAGCAGCTACTAATGCTTTTAAAAACAACTTAGTGAATTTCATAAAATATATTTTCGTTATATCGTTGTACACATTTTGATCCGAGGGACACTTGATTGGCTCCGAAACAGGGTGGGGGGGGGGCAGATTAGTTTAGTAAAGTGTTATTAAAGTATTTCAACTTGTGAAGCTGCAAAATATAAATAAGTTTTAATACTGATGTATGCAAAGTTTGCATTGCAAACAAAAGAAAGTAAGATTTTAGCTTATGATCAAAACCTGCCAATTTTTAAAACAATGCGATATTTATTATCGAATTCTGTAGGCCTGTAACAAGATTAACCTGAATGATGTGGATCACCAATATTATATATCGAGGACAACGATATTTTATTGTTTCCATTAATTGTAATCGATTAAAGGCAAACGTTTCTATTACTTTTAAGAAATGCTATAAAAATTAATATTTAGTAGTTTTTATAAATTTAATGTTTATATTGTTTACTCATTTTTCGGAGGGGGGGCCTTGAATTGCCCCCCCCCCTCCCCTGGCGGTATGCCTGAAAGAAACCCTGCTTGCAATGGCCATTTTAAAAAAAAAAGTCATTAGTGTTGCGAATAAAATGAAATCCCAGGCTCTAAATCAGGGGTCTCCAAACATTTTTCACGGTGGGCCGGATAACGGAAAAAAATGACTTGCGCAGGCCGGAAACTCATTCTGTACAATACATGCAAGCCAGAACGAAAGCTCTTGGGAAGCGACAAAACTAAGTTTAATATTCCATGTTAATCATGGGTAAGTGGCGTGCAATGCATAAAAAACAAAGACAACAATCATATTTATTTTATAAAAAAGTTATCAAATAAGGTGACGTTAGCAAACAGATAGTTACATCGGACCTAGTGCGCATATATTCGAATATCACAAATCTTAGCAGCAAAAAAGGTTCGTGAGATTTGTGAAACTGACGTTTGGCTTTCAAGATTTCATCAATTTTTGGATTCGAATTGCTGCATCCAATCAAGAGAATTGTTTTCAAATCAGTCTCTCTCTTTTTTATGTGTTGACTTCACATTCTTCATTTTTGAAAATTTTTTCTCACAGACATAAGTTGTTCCGAACAGTGATGCCATAACAGCGGCAAAGTTCTTCACTTTCAGAAACTCTACATCAGGTTAGCGGAGGTGAAGTTTTCTTTCTCTGTGGGTAAACATACGTTTTATCAAACAAATTCAAGTAGATCGGTGGGCCGGATGAACTGGCCTCGTGGGCCGGATGAACTGGCCTCGTGGGCCGGATGAACTGGCCTCGTGGGCCGGATGAACTGGCCTCGTGGGCCGGATGAACTGGCCTCGTGGGCCGGATGAACTGGCCTCGTGGGCCGGATGAACTAGCCTCGTGGGCCGGATGAACTGGCCTCGTGGGCCGTAGTTTGGATACCCCTGCTCTAGATGATCAACTATTTAGTGAGATCTGCATTGAGAACTATGACTCATTTGAAACGTTTGCTGGTGCATACTGAATTGTGCACACATTCAATGAAATATGTAACAGTTGCAATGAATTAAGACTAGCTAATCCCATGAAAACCAATACAATGATCTCAACATTTTTATCTTAATTAATTCTGTTCAAAAGCAACATTAGCCGTCGTGAATTATTCCAATTTCAAAGCAGCGTTTCTTTCAGGCATCTCCTAGTGGTGTGGGGGGGGGGGGGCGGGGGGGGTGGGGGGGGGGGGGGGGGGGCCGCGGGGGACTGCTGCGTAGTCGTCGTCGTCGTCCCCCCCCCCTCTTTTCCGGAAAAAATGTGTAGCCTACAAAAGTAAAAGAACTTTTTTTAAAATAAAAGAACAACTAAATTGTAATTTTTATAAACATTTTTTAAAGAATAGTAACTGGTGCCTTTAACCGACCACAATTAGTGGAATCTATGACATCTCGCTATGCTCAATCTATTTGATGATCCGTATATTTAAGGGTAATCGCGCTTCTTCTTATATATATTCTATATATATATACTTCTTCTATTCTCTCTCTCTCTCTCTCTCTATATATATATATATATATATATAATATACTGACTAGGCTTGTGCCAAATGATTACCATGGAGCGCGCCACAACCGGGGTGAATTCAGTTCATGTATGATTGCTATTGGGCGCAATAATACCTCCCACGGACGCCTGAAAAATTCCATCCCCCGATCAAATAGAAACACTGAATTCAGGTATATTCCAATATTCTACTCAGCTCTTGATTTTGAAATAATCAAAACAAGTTTTAGGGAATTGATCCCCATTCCCCCCCTTTCCCGCTCAAGAATAATCGGTGCCCTCGATTTGTTCCCTACTTCCCGATAAAAGTGACAGCATAGAGGACTCAGGGGAAACATTTCAGGTTTTTTCGGGGGGGGGGGGGGTTCAAAACTTGGTCGGCTTGTTGTTTATTACTGGAGGCGCCACAGTACATTGTACTTAACAGCTGCGAATTCGGGGGGGGGGGGCGCAAATGCACCACCCTAACCCTTACCAAATGACGTTTCTGAACACACCTCTCTTCCACCCCAAGAGCCAGCCTTGCCCTCAATATCCGCCCTAATTTTCTACAGATCGCCAATTTTGGTGCCCATAGATGCACTGCCTAGTCGCGTAGCTAGTATTAGTTTCGCCATCTGCGGGCCAAGATTATTTCTGTCACCCTCTCTTTCACAATACAAGCTCTGGTTGTCCGAGAATGACACTACTCCATATAAATAAAAAATGACACTTGGCTCATCAACTTAATACAACTAAAGACCATTTTGGCGCCCTCACTAGTCTGGTGCCCGGAGATAACTGTCCCCC